CGCCCGGCCGCGGGCAGGTGAGGGCGCTGCCCCGGCCGCCGCCTCTCTCTCGGGCACCACGGACTTACCCGGCGTCTCGGAAACAGTTTCAAAGGTGCGAAGCAGACTGCGCGCTGTGAAACACGAAATACAGCTGGGGTCACGTAATGCCTCTGCGAAACATGGTTCACCGAGCGGATAGTGTGAGAGCAGGGCATTGCTTTCCTGTTTAAATTGCTCAAACAAATGGAAACGCAAGCACAGCAAGACAGTCACATAGCAAAACTGTTAGCTCTCTTGTGGCTCTGGCAACCACTTACTGGTTTGGCTCCACTTCAGTATTGCCATCGTTATCCCACTGCATTTTTGTCCAAGCATTTATCACATTAGGATGAGCGACTGCTCCTGCGTCTCATTTGTCTGTGCCCACTCTGATGGAAAACACACCCGAATCCTGCGAATTCCAGCGTGGCCTGAGCGCTGCTCCTTTGGCACCTGTGAACTCAGAAGTATCACAGGAACCAGACTGAATTTCTGATCTTTGTTTGATCTGAAATTTGCAATTGTAGTATTTGTTAGTTGGTGTTTAGGAGCTCTGTTAATGTAACATGAGTACGCAGACTACTTGTACATGTCTTTAATTTCATATTGTCACTCCAAGGCCTCAGCATCTATCTGGATTGGAGATCATTCGAGATCTATGTGAGGGGAAGCTGGAAGGTGGAGAAATTGGCTCAACAGAAATAACCTTCACTCCTGGGAAGATCAAAGGTGGAACCCACATAGCAGATACAAAAACAGCAGGGTATGTCTTTGTACACGGATAATGACTGACCAGTAACTGCTCTTAACTGCTTTTGGTAACTTTAAAATTATGACAGAAGATGTTTTGGTAACTTTAAAATTATCACAAAAGAGCAGGGAAAAAAAGAGCAATAATACATGGGTAACGAGCCAAAGTCTGTGCTGCCCGAGCCAGATATACGTGACCAAAAAACCTTTAGCGTAGGCAGGAAATGTTTGAATAAAGTACATGCAAGTGTAATAGTTTTAAAATTATAATTGAAATATAAGTTGAACACTTGATTAATGTTAAGCAAAACCCAGCTGCCCAAGTATTTAACACTTTATCCATTATTTTCTCACATTGGCACATTACATATCAGGTCGAATGTATCAAATTAGATAAGTATCTCAAATCAGAAAATTTCAGATCAGAAATAATCCTCATCATATAATAACGCAAGTTTTGACATTTTCTTTAGGGACATAATGGTACAATATGGCATACTAGTCTTTTTGAACTGGGAACATATTCTATCCACGGTTCATTGTGCCTGTGTTTCTTCTATCCTGTTTTTTATTATCTATGAAATGTGGAGAGGCTCAATGACAGGGAAATCTTGTATCTAGAAGCATATTTTCTATGCCCTTGAATTTTCTTGTGCGGGATGCTGACCAGCTTCTAAGCAATTTTGTAGTTTTCTAAATATTTTGTCATTAAATAAACATTAAAATGTTAAAATTGCTGCCTAAGCCTTTTCTGCTTTTATCATCTGCTAGCTAAAGCTACAGTTTTCACAGTCCCATCACTAGACTAAGTAAGGTACATTGCTTTAATTTCAAACAGGAATATTAAAGATGCAATTACTGTAACACAAAAACCTTCATATTTAGGCTTGCTAAGGACATGAAGTTTTAAATTAGTATTTTTGGAGGCTAATAAGTTTACTTTATAGATAATGTTCAAAATGAAATACTTTTTGAAATACTCTAGAAAGTAATTTGCCTTTGATGTGTAATGATTCTATGGGTTATGACTGCACAACATTTGAGTATCTTATAATTTCTTCTAGGAGTGTGTGTCTACTGATGCAGGTAGCAATGCCCTGTGTACTGTTTGCTGCTTCCCCATCAGAACTTCGTTTAAAAGGTGGAACTAATGCTGAGATGGCTCCTCAGATAGACTACACAGTCATGGTAGGGGAAAATTTATTTCTCTTGGCGCATCTTTCATGCGTACATATGTAATGTAACTACTGTACTTCTGTTGCTCTTACTGTCAGTTTATTTGTAATTATGGAATTAGGCATGGGACTGTAACCAGTGTTTCATGGAATACCCTGAAACAGCAACTAGTCTGTTTGCTTTTAATTACTAAAGAAAATTTCACTTAAAATATATTATTTATTCTAGAGGTGTTGTGAATTGTTAAGAAGTTTTCTTCTTCTTTCCATAAAAAATCCTTTTCAAAGTGTCATTCAGCATGAAGTATGAGAAATGTCAAATAAGCTGTATGGATGAGACTGGCTGTCTTTTGTTTTTTTTTTTTATAATGTAACTGCAATTTTTGTGGTTTACTTTTTTTTTTTAAGACTGCATAAAATAGTAGGAAATTGTAAATGCAAGATAGATTCACTCTGTGTTTTTATATATGCTTGTTTTTCAGGTTTTCAAGCCAATAGTTGAAAAGTTCAATTTCACATTTAATTGTGACATAAAAAAGAGGTGAGTTACGCAGACATGTGGCAGAGGCAGGCCTTACTGAAACAGTGGCACACACACAAGGCACACACAAGGTGCCCTCAATCAAGCTGAGGGATGAATTTACAATACATGAACTAATCTGCATTAGCTGCCCCTCTCTGTGTACTGTCACCATATGGTGAATGTGATACGGTTCTTTCCTGTCTTTTTTCCATTGCTGAGTCTTCAGCTGCTGTTTAATGTTTCCTCTGGGCTGCCCCTGAGAGGAGTGCATGCTGAACAGGCAGTACATTACTGAGCTTTTTCTGAGGTGCCAGTTATGTTGGTGTTAGGTAGTTAATTAGATGTGTATTATAACGTAATACTGTTAGAGAACCTAATTCTTTTATAAAGATTTCTAAGACACACATCAAGAAAATTCATATGTACAATAACAGAGAACATATATAACACAATATATGAAGAGCCTTCTGTCTCTTTCCTTGGTTTCCTTGTGATTTTGCATTTAATTATATCTGGTTACTGTTTTTAAATAGGGGCTACTATCCTCAGGGAGGCGGTGAAGTTGTAGTCCAGATGTCACCAGTCAAAGAGTTGAGCCCAATAAACTTAACAGAACGTGGCGCAGTGACAAAGATACATGGAAGAGCATTTGTTGCGGGAGCGCTGCCTATAAAAGTAAGTGCTGATAACAGCTCTGGTAGTATCCAGCTTCATATATCTATATAAAATTGCATGTAATCTGCTTAACAAACCTCTCCTGTTCCTGTATTCTGCAGTCTTTCACATACAAACTAAGTAGCTTCATTAAATGGTTTCAATTATTCCGGCCATAGAATAGAATTGTGGACATTTCTAAAGTGCATGTATTGCATAGCAATATGGCAGCAGCTCAAACAGGAAATGAGAACAGTATCCTCGATGTCCTTTGTATGACTGTTCAAAAGTCCTTAGCACATATTGATGGGTATCTTATATCTGGTTTATGTATCATTCATATTTATGTGGATTATTTTAAGTCTGAAGTCGTGGTCCTTGTTAATAGATTTATGGGTTAACTATGGTGCACTGTACTAGGCAGAGGTCAGGCTACATCGAATTTTTCAATCATTGCTAAAGGGTATTAAATAGAACAAGGTAAGGGTAGGTTTAGCCACAGATAAAAGAGAGAGAAATCTGTTCCTTTGTACCCACTTCTATTATTCCTATCCTGTCTGTGTTTACAGAGAATGAGTGGTGGGATCTCCTCAAGGCTCCTTCTCACACACAGGCTAGGAAGTAGTAGAGGAAGGAAGAGAAGAAATTGAGCTATTTTTTGAAGAGCTGTGGACTGCTGGTTTTGGTCTTAAAATCTCCAAACCTATGAAAATTGGCTATGATTGGGTCACAAGGATGGGATAAGCTTCATCTGCCCCCACCTGCCTGTGATTTAAAATTGTTATTTTATATGTTATATCTTGTAGAATATATCTTGTACATAAACACTGTGGAATGTTGTGGTTGGTTTTGTTTTGTTTTGTTTTCTACAATCAAATCTTTCTCCCTATGAATGGAGAAAAGTTCTTGAACTTCTATTTATATTGAAGCTTCTACATACATCACTATAGTTGTTATTTGTTCAGCATTTAATGTTACCTTAATTTTGTGGGAAAAATCTCCAGAGATGATGTTCAGTGCTTGCTTGTAGGGGTTTTGTAACAATCCTTTGTTTTTCTAGTTAATAAAGTAGGTCCTTTATTCAGGGATTCACTGTAATAATTAGATTTATGAGGAAAAAGTATTACTCTAGTTACAAAATTTAATTAATATTTTTACCTCTGATCTTGTTAGCTGGCGAAAGACATGGCAGCAGCAGCAGTGAGATGCATCAGAAAAGAAATCAGAGATCTTTACATTAACATTCAGCCTGTTCGAGAACCTGATGATCAAGCCTTTGGGACTGGCAGTGGAATAATGTAAGATGAGCCAGACTTTGTGTTGAGACCTGTAACCTTGCTGGTTGGTTAGCTAGATCGTGATTACACATCTGGTAAATAAAGTGTAATGTGAGTGATTTTGTTCTTAATATTGGTTCTGTTTTTTCTGCTTAGCATTGTGGCAGAGACTTCAACAGGTTGTTTGTTAGCTGGGTCATCACTTGGCAAGAGAGGTAAGAGTTCCATGAAGCATACCTCTTTCAGACTTAACTTAATGTACTACTAACAAACAGGAATCTAAAGGATAATCTATTCAATATCTGAAGCTTTGAATGTTGCATTTTTAAATGGGTGTTTTTTAGTAATAAAGAACAGTAGAAATGAGCAGATTTTAAAGGTAGTAAATGGAATCCTACACTTTGTACTAAGCTGCTTCTGCATAGTGACAAAAATTACAGAATTATTAAACTCACCTTTTATCAGAATGGATTGTTAGGAATCACTTTGTTGAAAATGCTTCTGGACTTGAAGAACATACGGTCCTTGTGGTTTACCTGCGAAGTTTTTGTTCAACAGTGAATCTCGACATGTATTTAGAGTAAAAGGAATAGAAAGGATTTTGGTTTTAAATGCTTTGAATAAAGTGTTTCTGTGACTAAGTGGGGCTACTGTCCTTCCACTGCTTAGGAAGTATGAACTATATGTCATCATAAGATGGGAGGGGGTTTTTAAGCAGACATTTGGGGCAAGAGCATGGAAGTAAGGTTTAAAAAGTTGATAATTTCTTGATTTTTTTTTTTTTTTCCTTCTGTATTTTTAAAATTTTAAATAATAATTGGCAGCATCCTAATCTGCATTTCTCTGCTAGGAAAGAATTCTGACAAGGTTGGCATTGAAGCAGCTGAGATACTGCTTAGGAATCTTAAACACGGTGGAACAGTAGATGATTCTCTGCAAGACCAAGTAAGGCTCCTGTATGTGTTTACATGCATGTATGTATTACTTGTGAAGAATATAAATCTGAACAGGGAAAGAATGAGATGTAGATTTCAGAGTTAGACTGTATCTCTACAGGTAGGCATGGCTTTGCATAATTATTTGATAATTAGAAATTTTAGGAGATTTCTGGGTGCAGTCAGGACATTAGCAAATTGCATACAGTTCTAAGGAACCATGGATGCTCCTGGCTTTGCACCAACATCCTTAAGTTTTCCCTTCCTGTAAATCTTACTAGGTATGTAAGAAAGAGGAAGGAATTTACTTCTATTTGGCACTCCAAACTAGCTCCCTGGTTGCATATCAAGAATGATAATAAGTGAAGCTATTAGAGAACAGAATATCTAAGAGGTGCTCCTGTTTGTCTTGCCCACCTCATTTCATTTGAGAATGAAGACCCTCCGCTATCTTATTTTCAATAACACAGTCTGGTAAGAATCTTGGGCTGTTCTAGATAGGATGACATTACCTCTTAGCTGTAAATACCCAGCCACACGTTACTATTATGTAGTATAATAGGAAGTATTTAGGTTTGGGACTCGTCCTACTTTTTCCAAAGTATGGACAGTACAATTGACAGAAACATCCCACTAGATTCACTGCATATGGGAGCTGCTCAGAGGTATATCATGCTTTACAGAGTGTTTGTCATGGTGATATCTGTAAATCAAATCATATTTTTTAAAATATCTGCCTGGCCGATATGTGATCCACAAGTGTTAGAATTAAAAAACCTCTTCCTGAGGTTTTTTCTCCATAAATTAATTTACCATTCTGAATTCTGACATGACTTTGGGGAATTTCAGGGTGGGAGGGTGGGGAGACAGCAAAGTTAAATGTAGTAACAAGACTTCAGTGGCAAACTCCACTGTGCAAAAGTGGCAGCCCTTCTGTAACAGGCTTTACAGTAGTAATTTCAAAGCTTCTTGAGCCTTGGATCACTATGAAACTTGGCAGACCACATTTTTACATCTACAGACGTTTTGCATGTTTGTTTGTTTTTGTTTTTTTTTTTTTAAATCAGTAAGTTCCTAGGATCTGAAGTTACTTAATAATTACATTTCCCTCCCTTTCAGCTGATCATTTTTATGGCACTAGCAAAAGGGTTGTCTAGAGTGAAAAGTGGACCAATTACACTTCATACACAAACAGCTATACACTTTGCAGAGCAGCTAACAAAGGTGAGTCCAAAAGTTCAGGAAGTTTTACCTGTCAGTTGTCATCCAGTAAGCAGGCAATGTACAGTTCATCGGGCGTTGTGAACTGAACGTGATCATGGAGAACAAGCATTGATAAAATAATTGCTACAATATTTACATGGGAGTTTACCTGTAGAAAGTGAATATACTTTACAGTTAAATGCCTTTAAAATGGTTAGATACTTTTACCACCTTTATTTAAATGTTTTGTAATGAAATCAGTCAAAACTGTAATATACATAAAAACATGGCAATATGATTATTGGACATCAGATGTTGAATATTTAAACTTATGTATGCTATAACTTCATTAGTGATATATTTCTAATCCTGTTTCAGGCCAAATTTACTGTGACAAAATTGGAAGAAGATCCCAGTAAAGACACCTACATCATTGAGTGCCAAGGAATGGGGATGATAAACCCAAATTTATAGAGGTTTTTTTTTAAGCTGACAAAAGCAAAACTCAACATACCTCAGTGATGTATTGCACTACATTTCAATAGCTGTATAATATGCATGTGAACAGGAGGAGCCTTCTGTCACATCCGAGTGATTTAACTTCAGGAATGATGTCTAGTTTTTCCTTGGTGTGCTGAGAATCTGTGGTACGAAAAAAGGAAACTTCACTTTTTGTTTGGTTTTTTTTTCCCCACTATTGGCAACAAAATGAGGACAGACTGGACAGCAAATAGAATACATTGTATGTATTGAAAGCTTCAGTTAGAAGCTTTGAAAATTCCGATTCATCAAAGTAGGAAATAACTGTTTCAGTTTTGAAAAAATAGTGATACATTCTTTCCCCTTTACTAAATATAAGTTTTATTCTTTGTGAACCTTTATGTTATAAGGTATATGGAACAAAGTGCATCATCAACTCTGTATCATGGTTCTTCCTTAACCATTTTGCTCAAACTGTGCTTGAGGAAATAATAAAGCAATATGACCTGAAAAAAGTCCAGTATTTGCTGTTATCTCAGCAGGTTGTGTTAGTGGGAGATGGATACAAAGGAACTCTTCAGAAGTATAATTTCTTTTTCTCCCTACAGAAAGAACACTCAATACAATAATCTTCTTTTAAATCTTCTCTTTTAATCTATTTTAAAAGACCTTCTCAGGCAAGCTAAAACAATGTACCACATTACATCCCAAACACAAAATATTAACTTTATGATATGATTGGATTTTCTATCTACAGTTGTCCTTGTTAGTGTACTAACTGGGCCCACATTTTCACCAAGCTGTTGCTGTTTGTTCTTTTTAAAGGTAGTACTTAATTTCAGCTGAGATTAGGGAGCTGTTGAACACACATATATGCACACAGATACACAGATGTATGTACACTGAGCACTGCATGTCCACACAGGTGTATTTAGGCATATAAATTCCAGTTGTGTTATCTACCACCTATGGATTAAGTAAGGAAAATCTTCTGCCAATCTGGTCTTGATCGTGCTACAAAAGCTTCTTTTGAAGTAAAGGGAAGATAAAGGGAGAGATAGGGCATAATTTGTTGTGCATATGAAGAACTGAATCACAGAGTTGGAATCACTTAACCAAACCTATCTAAATGGCCTCTGGATTCAATTGATTTCCAGGTTTTTCACAGCCCAGTCTGCAGCCTTTTCTCTAAGATCTTTTTTCCTCAGTTGTGACTATTGAACCTAACATCTAAAGATGTAACTTAAAGTATTGTTTCTCTTAACTCATTAAGATAATTGCATTATTGTGCGTTTCTAACACAAAAAGAATCCTTTGCTGATATACAAAAACTTTCAGCAATTATCTACTTAACAATAGCTTTCTTTTTAGGATTCTTCCCTCTCTCTACCCGAAAACTAGTGTAAAAGAATGGGACGCTATTAATTGCTGACTAAATAATAATTATTTTTCTCTAACACTGGGAATTGTCTGAAGAGGGCAGCAGATCCCCGCGGAAATATGTTTGTCACACGTACTCGACTGCCATAGAAGAGCACCTCTAAATTATTAGTCTGTGCTGCTAATGATTTTCAGTGTTCCCTTTTGCAAGAACTCTGAATGTATTTTTCAAGAAAGAAAGCCCCCAAAGAGTTGTCTGTACTTAAGAAAACAAGCTCTTCTAAACCACATTTGAAAGGAAAATTTTCAAAGATGGAGGTTCTACAATTTTTCTGGGCAACTTGCTATCAGGGCTTAACCACTCCCAGATCTGATATTTCATGTGAACAAGCCAAAGGGCTAGGGTGTTTTTTTGTTTAGTTTTTGTGGTTTTGTTTGTTTGTTTGTTTCTTAAGCTGAGGGACTGCTCCTTGAATGGAAGTTACTTCTTGCTACAGGAAACACGTTGGGAAGGTGAGCTTAGCAATATACCAGTTCTTCACTGTTTCCTAAGAACAAAACATGGCAGAAGAAAATGCTATAATCAGTTCTACCTTATTCAGGAGATTTCTGGTCTGTGGGAAATAGTCTGGTTGCTCTGGCAGCTGAGAACAAGGAAGCTTCAGTAAGCCCTAGAACTAAGATGATAAGACCAAAAATTTATTACAAATAGTTATATATCCTTGCTGAAAATTAATACAGAAAAGCATATTGAATACAGTTTCTAACCTACACAGTTAAAGTATTCCTTTTTGTTACCTTGGAAGTTCAGTCGTTGGATTCTCTGTGATTTAATATCTTTTTACCAATATGTAATCAAGCAACTTTCACAGAGTACAGACAATTAAATTTATTTTTTATTATGCAATTCCAACATTTGTAGAAATTATGCTCCTTGAGAGATAATAAAATTGACATTCTTTGTACTGTTATTCCAAGGGAGCCAACATTATGTACATCTTTATAAACTACAATCCAGACCGAACGCCTTCCCTTTGGGTTTTAAAATCTCTAGCGAGTGCCTTACACACTTGGCCTTCTTGCCCTGTAATCATTGCTCCACTTTAGCAATTACATAAGAATGACCCACTTCCTTGCCTAGGAGATTCTTTGTGGACTGGAAGCATACTTAGGTGTTAATGCCTAGATAGTTTAAAGACGAAATAAATCAGCATAAGGAGCTCCTGTCCTGTTAAGAAAACCTTATGAATAAAAGCACAGCTAAATTAAATCTTCCAAATTTGGGCAGACTTTTATATATCTGTGCACATATACATACTGCATTATGTATGAAAAGTAGGATAAGCTTGAGCATTATTTTATATCTGGTCTCCAAGGCTGGCTGGAGTACCTTTTCATAGCTTTTCTTTGCTTCTGAAAAACCAGGACACTTATGTTGGAATTTCTAGCTCTGTCCAACACTTCCTGAAATCAGGTGTTTATTTAGAGATTAAAAATTTCTTTTGGAAGGAATTTCAAAATGTGCAGGTTTTGTTTGTAAAGAAAATTTTAAAAAATCAACAAAACAAAATTCAGTTGAACAAAAAATTCCCATTGAAAAATTGAAATGCAATTCCTCTCTTCCAGACAGACATACAAAAGCATGTAAATGCTCAGCCAGCAAATTTAACAAAGATAAAACCCATGTTACCAGAAAAACCCCCTCCTCTTAGTAAATGGACAATAAATAGCAGCTCAGCAATACTGACAACTATTACTGCACCTTATGCCATCCCTGCAGTGCTTCCTGAATTGAAGGACCCTGGTGCTGATTTTATCAGGCTTTACATGCAACCTTTTTCTCCTCAGGGGTTAGAAAATCTCTTGATGGGAGACATCCACAACAGATTTTACTCTTCAATAGGATGAAATTCCCCAAACAATTTTTACTCCCTGCTATACACACACATACACATGTATGCACACACAGAATTTTATTATCCGGGCACAATTCACATCCTGTCACCTCATGGTGACCTCTTACCAGGGAATGTTTATCATATTTCCTGGTCTTTTTCTATATACAATAATTAATTACTCTTCATTGCATATATATTTGAAAAAAAAATTAACTAAGGTAATAAAGTTCATAAAATTAATTTGGGACTACTAGCATCATTCATATTCTACCAAGTTGCTGTTTTCCCTTTTCAGTGGGGTTCCACATCATAAAACTTAAATCTTCCAGGTTTACATTTACTTTCAATTCACTCAGATTTTAAATCTACAAGTCAAAACACGAGCTGCAGATCTTGTTACATCACACTCCTACATTGCACGTGCTGTATGTACTTAAGCTTCAATTTTACAGCATAATTAATTCTTAAAATTAATGCAGTGTGTGCAAATGAATTGTTGGTAGTTAGTGGTGCAACTTTTATTTTTTTTTAATTTCCTGCCCTTTTTGAATATTAACTAATAATTACAGTGCATTACTTGAAGCTTTTTAACTTTCATTTATATCCACTTACAATCATATAATTTTTAGTGATAAGCTTGGATTAAGTCACTTGTAGGAATGTATTAACCTTTTGTTCAGGAAGAGATGAGACACTGCTTGCACCTGCTCTACAAATATGCCCTGAGTTTTCTTTCGTTAATCAAGCACATTTGAATCTTATATAAAAACTCCAGTGTGGGTGTATAGCTACAACTAAGATGCTTACATTTAATATTGCTCAAACAAGTACTGGTGATGACTCACAAGTTCTATATACCAAGGAAATGGGATTAATCCTCTCAAACCATGTGTCCCTAGGGTACTTCCATGAGAGAGAATTGTGTTTAGATGAATGCGATGCTCAGAGAAAGGCACTGCACTGAGATATCTGGGGACTGAAGTCTCGAGACAAATAATAAGAGCGTTATATGCAGCTAGTTACAAAAAAGTTCCTCAGGAAATACTGCACTGTGGTTCTGACTGAACTCTGCTACTCTCAAAAGGAGAAACTTGGAACTTTTTCGCCTCTCATGCCCTTAAATCAACTTCAGCTGGTTACTGTTCCTCTTCTGAGCCTATGCATCTCATTCTGGTCACTAAAATATCAGTAAAACATTTACTATTTTCTAGACCACGTTGAGAGCCAGTTTTGGGCCCCCCCATGCAAGAAAGACACCCATGGCCAACTAGGTCTGGGCTGGAGCCCTGCGAGGAGAGGCTGGGGGAAGGGGGCTTGCTCAGCCAGGGGAGGGGAGGGATTCGGGGGCACCTGCCAGCAACCTGCCAGTGCCTGCCAGGAGGGGATGGAGGAGACAGAGCCAGGCCCTTCACGCTGGTGCGTGGCAGGAGGGCAAGAGGCAGCAGGGGGTAAACTGGGACAAGAGAGGCTCAGGCTGGACAAAGCCCTGACCAACCTAGCCTGAGCTCATGGCTGACCCTGCAGGGAGCGGGAGTTTGGACCAGAACCCTCCTGCGGTCCCTGCCCACCTCAGCTATCCTATGATCCTGAATGCCCTAGCTGGCAACTAATGATCATACAAACATAGTGCAGAAGAATTCTCTGAAATATTCCAGCACAGGTAATTTAAAACCAACATTGTTAAAAGGAGCCATAGGTTAAATAAAACACTATACC